AATCAAAAGATAATCACATTTCTATCCTGAAAGGAATCAAGAATGTGGAAAATATATTTTATACAGTATATATAGTCTACAAGAGTAGAAACAAATGAACATGAATATATTCTGCTTCCTTTTCAACAGTAATCTTAATACTGTTGTTGTTAAAAATTATTAAACAATAATTTAACCATTTATTTCAAATTAAATATAAACAAAGAGTTTATTATACATCAGGATCCTATGTATAAAGGGGCTGCTACAATATTGTTAATTTCTAACTGCCACTCCTAAAATCATTAATATACATTCATCCGTAGGTAACTGTCTTTTATTTAAAATGTACTACACAGTACAATAAAAGGAATTAAGTACAGTATATGCTTAGGGAACTAACCTAACTTAAAAGAAACATAAATCCATAACGTGGTACAGTACACAACACATACAACGTTACCAGTTTTCCAGCTTTCCCAGAATAAGGGGGACATCTTGGAATTCCACACACGTAGACATAAATATCTCTAGTGCATTATGAAAGAGACAGTTTTCTCTTCAGGGATACATATATACATGCATACATGTAAAATACAATACTCAAATTTACTGAATTTAATTGAAAATTAAAACATCAATATTAACAATTTAACCAAAAAACTTTAAATGGAAATGTAGTTGAAAGAATCCTGCTATGTTTTCAAAATGAAATGTGATGACATACTGTCAAAATGTAACATTGAGAAGTTGATATCATCTATTGTTTGTTCATAGAGGGGGTCATAGGATGGCTTGTCTTTAAAGGAAAATCCCTTTAAAGTAGTATTAAGCCTATCCCACGAGCCACTACTAACATTGACATGTGGAACTTGTCAGACTCTCGATCGGCAGCTGTGGAATATTCTGTCATTTGAGAAAATTGATCTGTTAAATATGTGACTTTTTGATGATATTGGTAGTTAGCCCTACACATGCTGTGTTGTACATGGATACAGACCTCAACATAGTTGTCTTCAAGAAATGCCTTTGTAATCTCAGTATGTAAAGGTCTTGCACTGTCTTTCTGAAAATTCAACAGTTCCAGTTTGGCTTCTACTAAATTTGAAACTGTTGGTTTAAATAATTATAATAATTGCTTACACTTATATAGTGCTTTTCTGGACACTCCACTCAAGGCACTTTGCAGTAATGGGGACTCCCCTCCACCACCACCAATGTGCAGCATCCTGCTGGATGATGCAACAGCAGCCATAGTGCGCCAGAACGCTCACCACACATCAGCTATCAGTGGGGAGGAGAGCAGTGTAATGAATCCAATTCATAGATGGGGATTATTAGGAGGCCATGATTGGTAAGGGCCAATGGGAAACTTGGCCAGGACACCAGGATTACACCCCTACTCTTTTCGAGAAACACCCTGGGATTTTTAATGACCAAAGAGAGAAAGGGCTGCAGTTTTACGTCTCATCTGAAGGACGGCACCTTTTTACAGTGTGGTGTCCCCAGCACTAACTTGTGGCATTAGGACCCACACAGACTGCAGGGTGAGTAACCCCTGCTGGCCCCACTAACCACTTCCAGCAGCAACCTTAGTTTATCCCAAGAGGTCTCCCATCCAGGTACTGACTAGGCTCACACCTGCTGAGCTTCAGTGGATTCTCAGTTGTGAGTTGCAGGGTGATAAGGATGATGGTTTAAAGATGTCATCAATATATTGCTGAATGGTAAGATCACCCTCATTATGCACCAAAAGAAAATTATTCCCTTACATCTAGTACTCCATGATGTACTGATAGCAATTCTACAGTCAACAGGAGTCAGACATCTACATTATGGATACATTGTCATCCATGAGGACCATGAAGGACAAAACAGGATTCATTAGTGAAATAAAAAAGAAACTCTACCCACTCTCTTTGTTGCCACCTTGGATGTTCTTTGACCTACAGATAAGGAAGATTGTTTCACTCACCACATGACCTCTGTGCTACCTTGCAGATCATTTTCATATAACTGGCAACCTATACTCATTCTGTTCATGAGTGGGCTATTTGCTCTTGAAATGTTTTCAGCTGTGGTCATTGAAGTCTGAAAAAAAGTTAAACAGATGGATCAGAATGATGTGTTGACCCTCCCTCTCCCAGGGCATGGTCTGTCAGAGTCAGTTTTCTTGTTTCTCTGGATTAGTTTGCTGATGGTCAAAGCAGAGCATCTCATTCACTTGGAAACTTCTCTCTTCAATCATGTTGATAGGAACCCAATGTTCTTCATTTCTTTGAGCAGATAACAATCATATCTTTGACTTTCTTTTGAGAAATTATTGGAAAACTTACACTGTTGTGTTTTCATTGTGCATCACATTATAAACTTGCTGTGTTCCATCAGGATTTATATTACTGTCTAAATATTAAAAAGAGTCTATGGAAAATGTGTTTACTCTTTTTCCAAAAGGAGAAAAGAATTGAGATAAATAGACAATTTATCATTACTTGGAAAACATTAAAATTAACCTAGAACAATAAATAGCTGATTTGGTTTTAAATGAGCTAAGCAGTGAGCAATATAAGTAGAGTAGAGTAAACAAGGCACATTGACTTGGTGTTTTTTAATTACAGTTAACATGCATTAACCTTTTGAGGGATAATATTAAACGATCTTTCCTAAAAAATATTATAATATTATGTGTCCACATGAATATAAGAACAAGGTTAGAATAATTCAGTGGAATAATAATGAAACCTAGAGTGAATCTGAAAATTATTATATTTGATTGGGAACATGTAATGTTGTGATACTTAGTTATTTAAAATCTGCTTTATCTTCCAGAGCCACCTTTTTTTACTGTGCAAGATATTTAATATTGAGATGATTCTACTAAAGTACCTCTTCCCTATAAACATAGATCCCAGGCAACAAAATCTTGAACACCGAACTAAATGTCTAGCAATTCGAACTCCCTCCTCCCAGAAAATATTTGGATAAAATAAATATTGTGTTATTATGAAATATGAGTTTTCTGTGATGGAGTTAGAATTAAACTAAATTTGGATCATTAATAAATTGACTCCCCCCAATCACCTTTTTATTTTTACTGCAGGAAAATGTATTCAAATAATAATTTTACACCCTTCAAACTGTACTCTAAGTACAGTACTGTATATAATATTCTGTATCCACACTACATCTACTAGCTGGCAATAGAGGCTACACAGCCAGACTGCAGCAAAAAAATGATGGAAGAAATTTTTTATCAAGATGTGATTATGATCATATTATAAATGTGTATAATATATACAGTATATACATGTTTCAGCTGAATAGCGCGACTTACTGCATTAATGGTATAGGAACAAGAACATTTGTAATTACATCTGAACATATATTAACAGCACTGCATGCAGAAAGGGCTGTCTGCTGGTTTTGCTTGCAATACAAATACATCACTTGCTTAAGCAAAGAAGCAATCCAGGAAATTGATAGGTCATTTTATTAGTCCCAATGAGTGGCATTACTGTTCTTTGGGAGTATAGTTTGGATGAAGTGTTAGCCAGTAAGCCCTGATTACTAGCTAGATATAGTGCCAGATGCAGGTGTTGAGAAGTTCTGGGTGAAAGCATGAAATGCACTTTATAAGTTCTAATGTATGTCTAGAGAATTTGGCACTAATACGTATGGATTTTTGTCCATTACCTCCACTTTAATGCTCTCTGTACATGGGTTTTTAGACAGTAAGAAATGGGAATTGTGCTGATTTATAACTGAATTAGCTGGGGAGTGATTTTCAGCTACACTGTAATAAGTGTTAACTGTTTCAGTAGGATTACATTTACAGAATTGATGACTCTCTCTGCAAATTGCTGTGTGCTCAGTTTCTAATGTATGTCTCCCGCAATCTCCCACTCATACCCTTCCCTTTCTGAGAAAAACAAGAGATCTAACATCTACATTCCCTTAGTTCAGAAAGGTGGGTCTTTATCTTAAAAGGTTATACATTATTTGGGATATGGGTTTGTAACTTGAAGTCAACCATTTTCCCTTTAACCAGATCAATAATTGCTATTGTCCAATAACATTTGGAAAACATGTGAATGTAAACCAAAAGCCAGCTATACTGTACATGCTCGATACATAGAAGAGGTAGAAGAGGATTGTGCTTGAATAAGACAGTTATTGAAGTGGGCCTCAAAAAGAATTTTTTATGAAGGAACCTTGCCTTATTTTTCATATATGGAAGATCTGAATTCCTATCATAAAGAGTACTTTATTTTCCCAAGAACCCTTAACAAGTTGCAATATTTTCAGAACTTGGTGACTCAGATTTTAAAACTAAAGTGCAGCTGTGCACTGGCTCCCTGTGGAATTCAGAATACAATTGAAAATACCTCTGCTCGTCTTTAAGAGATTGAATGGCTTGGGTCCTGACTACATCAATTAACTTTTATCTCTCCAAAGACATCTCTATATTCAGTTCATAAAGATCTGGTACTAAAATTTACTTTAAACATTAACTTTTATTTAAATTTATTGGATTTATTTATTGTATTGATTAAAATTTGTTTTCTCATATTAGTGATTGTCCTTTGTGTTAAATAATGCTATGACTGAGTTAAGTTGATTTTGAGTTGGAAATCACTCTGCTCCAAAAACATTGATCAAAAGATTAATTGAATACGCTGCATGTCTGCTTCTGGTATTATATTCAGCCATTAGCACTCATTCATTTTTGTCTCTAATTTATTTGTTTACTGAAAACCATCCAAAGTCTGCCACTTAAACTAGTGAACGCACAAGCAAATCTTTGTAAAGTTTGTAAAGTTTTACTCTTTGCAAAGGTGATGGAGAGGTCAATTGTACTATCGTATTTAGAAAAGAGTAATAAACTCCCCAAAAGATAAATGTGAAGATTTTTTATAGGCATCAAAAATTCAGATTTTGGGGTGGTCAGCTGTGGCTTTTGTACAGAAAGTCTGGTGCAGTGATTCCCTGTGCACTGATATCTGTGCTTTCCATCTCTGCAGGGTCCCTTGCTTTTGATGCACAACTAGTCTTCCTCTTCCTTCAAGCTTTCCTGCTCATGTCTCTTTGTCAAAGTCAAAGGACATGCCCCCTGACCTGTCGGTGTGAAGGGAAGATCGTGTACTGTGAGTCGGGTGGTTTCCATGATGTTCCAAAAAATGTGTCAGTGGGTTGCCAGGGTCTGTCTCTGCGCTACAACAACATAGAGCATTTGCACTCCTTCCAGTTCTCCCAACTCAGCCAGCTCATCTGGCTCTACCTGGATCACAACTATATTACTACGGTAGACAGCAATGCCTTCCATGGCATCCGCCGGCTCAAGGAGCTGATTCTAAGCTCCAACAGGATCACACAGGTCCACAATTTCACCTTTCATTCCGTACCCAATCTGCGCAACCTAGATCTGTCCTACAACAAGCTGCAGGTTCTGCAGCTTGGACAGTTCCGTGGCCTGCGCAAGCTACTCAGTCTGCACCTGCGCTCCAACTCTTTGAGGAGCATTCCCATTCGTGTATTTCAAGAGTGTCGCAGCTTGGAGTTCCTAGATCTCGGCTACAACCGCCTGCGCAGCCTCACTCGTACTACTTTTATAGGGCTGCAGAAGCTCACTGAACTCCATCTGGAGCACAACCAGTTCTCGAAGATCAACTTCTTTCTCTTTCCACGCCTCGCTAACCTGCGGGCACTCTATCTGCAGTGGAACCGCATTCGCTCTGTAAGCCAGGGCCTCTCCTGGACCTGGACTTCCCTGGAAAAGCTGGACCTCTCAGGGAATGAAATCCAAGCTTTAGATGCGGTAGTCTTCCAGTGCCTGCCCAAACTCCAAATCCTTAATCTCGAGTCTAACAAGCTCAGCAACATTTCCCAAGAGGTGGTCACTGCCTGGATCTCCCTGACCACCATCAGCCTTGCTGGCAATGTGTGGGACTGCAGCCTCAGCATCTGTCCCCTAGTGAGCTGGCTGAAGAACTTCAAAGGCACCAAAGACACCACTATGATTTGTACTAGCCCCAGGCCTTTACAAGGAGCAAAAATCATGGAAGTGGTAAAAAACTATAGCATCTGTAAAGAGATCCCAACCCCTGCACCAGTTCCATTGTTAACCCCTACACCAACGCCAGCACTAACACCAGGCATCAAAAGGCCTCCTCCTTCATACATCCCCCCCAGACCCAAGCTGCTTCCCAGACCAACCGTTAACAGTTTAGGAGAGGCAGAATCTTGGGCATCTTCACCAAGTACACCATCCTCCAGTGGCCTTGGCTTCACACAAGAGCCAGAGTTCGAGCACATGTCTTTTCACAAAATCATTGCAGGTAGTGTGGCACTCTTTTTATCTGTATCTTTAATCCTGTTGGTCATCTACGTCTCATGGAAGCGCTACCCTAACACCATGCGGCAGCTTCAGCAGCACTCTATGGGCCGCAAGCGCAGGAAAAAGGCTCAGGAAACAGAGCATAACCTAACTCCCCAATTGCAGGAGTATTACATGAACTACAATCCAACAAACTCTGATACCATGGATGTGCTAGTCAATGGCACAGGACCCTGCACCTGCACTATCTCTGGCTCCAGGGAATGCGAGGTATGATACGCCACCCTCCTAAAAACGCTTTCCACGGCTGGGAGTGAGAGGTAAATCTTTTTTGCAGGAATGTAAAACTTTAGTGCAGGGTTTTCCTTAATTGAATCCTCCAGAAATGATTGTCTTGTGGTTTTCATGTCAACTGATCTCTTAGCTAATTGCTTATGTCCTTTTCTAACTAGTCATCAGCAGCAATTTCAGCAGATAACAGTTATAAAAAGTTCTAATTACCAAATCCTTCAATTAAGGGATCAGCCAAATAATTTTCAGCTCAGCTAAAACAAACCAACAGAAACAGCAGTTGGAATCCCTGCCTGAGTCTAAATGGACATATATTCAACCATAGACTTTCTTACTCAAAATTTTAAAATTAAATGATGGGCTATGTCAGTTGTTCTTTTATACCTGCTAAGAAATGCATAATATTGCATTAAACTATTGCTGTGCCTTGAGGCTTTCAGATTATTTTCCTTTTAATGACCCTTTATTTAATGTTGGATTACTGTATATATAATATTTATTGATGTTTGAAAAAAGTATAGACCAGAATTAAGATAGATGTTACTTATTATGACAAGTTACTGTGCATATTAGATAATCCCTCTTTGGAATTAGCTAGACACATTCCCCCCAGTCATTGACTGAGAAGTGCCCATGTTAGACCAAAAACATGTATTTTGTAATCTTATTTTTCTGTATATTAACTAGCTAGTTAAGTAATTATGTTCCTGGCTTTAGTTTTGTCAAATTTCTGCAGTGGAGTGGATTGGAGGGGATACAGCCTAAGTGGCACTGTATTAAAATCTCACACAGAAACATGATGTAAACAAGACTTTATGTGCTGCTGCTCTGAATATCTCTGTAAAAGTGTCTGCCAGTCTCTGAATACATCTTTAATTGGCCAGGACAAAAGAAGTCTTCTATGGCACTGTAGAGCCACCATTTTGTGTATTTTCTATGGTTCTTTAAGTCACTAACTGATTATGTTTTCTTCCATCAGTCGCACCCCCTGACTGGAAAATTGCTAAGTTAATGCACATTCATAAAATGGTGACAAAACTCAATTGAGTAATTATAGATGAAAAACGAATAAGGCTTATAGGTTTATAAGATGTATGGTTCATAGATATATAGAATTTAGTCACGTGAAAAGGTAAAGCTTTCAATTAAATGTACCCTAAGGGAAAACATAATTAGAAATATGTGGCAACATGTATTAAGAAAATACACTGTAGGTATTGCTTAATTAACTTTTTAATTTTTTTGAACAAGCTACAACACTAATGGAGTGCTAACAGAGATTATGATACCATATAATGTACCATGCGACAGTGTATACAATATGGGAAAAATAAGTAAATCATATACACATCAGCTTCTTCATAAATAAGATGTATATGTACATTCAAGTATCATTCATTCATGCATTGCTCATGCTGTTTTTCCAATAAGTAATACATGTAATAAATATACAGTACCTTCATATGTAGAATAAGAAAACATTCTTAATCAGGAAATTCTGCAAGAAAAACAAATGAGAATGATTAAGGGTTTCACTTTTCTAAAAAAAAAAATAACTTGAATATGTTTTTAAAACATCCTTTTTTGAGGGAAAACTAATTTAGATGAAAAATGAAATCTGGTCCTTGGCATTTATTTATATATATGTATGAGAGGCACAATTTCAGTTATTTCTATTTTTAAATGCATTCTACTATGCATAAAGAAATTTACCAAATTTGAGCTGTCATATCTAGTTTGGAGGCAGAGCGAATAATGGGTATATTCAAATGAACTTCGATGGAGCACAGTGGAAAATGATTGCACTTACTGGCTAACACAATTCCCCAGCAACTAAGGTCTATTGGAAGTCACTTGAAATAGCAGTCCCGTCGCTGTCAATCTGTCAGTCATAGTTTTTCTGTTCTGTTAGTTTCATGGTAATATAAAGGAAACAAACATATTTACAACAGTAACACCACTAGCTGGGCTGTGTCTTCTATACTTGTACAAATGCAAATGACAAATTCAAAATGTATTGATAGGAATATGTCATGATTTATTTAAATAATAATAGTGCATAGGGAACTTTAAGGTAAACCTTTATATTAACAGTTTTTAATTACCCTGTTATTTGTATTCTGTTTGGTTGTAGAATAATGAATTAGCAAAATATCAAAGAGAATTAGCCTTGATGGTATTTATAATAAAAACACATGGTGCCTGTTTGGATGATGCAACTTGTGGTTTGCAAAAAGGCACAAAAATCCCAAAAGATTAACATACTATACTATACATACAACTACTATAAGCAATGACCTTATAACCCCAAAACCTTATGGTGTAATAAAATTAATTCTAGCAATGATAACCTACAAACTGTAATCTGAAGCACCTTTCACAGCTGGTGTCAGCTGTGGGACTCACTTCATATGACTGTAAACATATTAGGAACCCATATGTTCAATTTTGAGCAGGGGTGAGTTTCCCGAAAACGATGAATCTTAAAGACTAACGAGCAACGAGTAAGTGCTACTTTTTCGGGCGTTTCCCAAAACCCCTCTTAATCGATCATTTTACGAGCGAGTATAAAGTACTTCTTTGTTAACCCCGCCCCTGAAGTCGCTTAGCAAAAAGCATCACAAGCTGTCTTTGAACTGAGTTATAGCAGCTTATTGCCCTCCTGGCTTTTAATTATTATTTTTTTTACTGACCATGTCATTCCAGTACTTGGGGGCATTCTTTGTTTTCTTAATTATAATATTTTCTGTATGAATAATTTAATGCACTACACCACTGCAGTATCTGTTTTGTGCTCTTCATCTAAGTAGATCTTATAGATAATTTCTCTTTCAGCTTAAGAACACCTAAAATAATTTGCTAGTGTCTAACAATTCTAGATCTCTGCTGATTTCCTGTTGTGGTTTTTCTGTTTCATTTGACAAACATTAGAATTAGCACATACAGTACGTTCTATACAAACACACAATTGAAAGCTGGAGTTATAATTATAAGTACCCAGTGCACAATTAATAAAAATGTTCAGAATTCTTCTGGATTCTACAAGTATCCTGTAATGTACTGTAGGTCCTGTATTTTCCTAATTGTGAGACTGCTGAAGGGAAAATGGGATATATTTTGTAAGAATCTATATTCCTAGGAATGTTGCTGATTTTTTTATGAGGACGGCATACTTGGGATTGTGTGAAGAGTCTTAAGGAAATAATGAAACCATTAAATAATTAATTAATGTTTTTCTGAAAAGAAGAAATTCTGTATAAATCTGTGCCTCCAGCATGCACTCCCTCTTTCAAAACAGTGGATTTGTTTGCAACCATTAAAAACATTCCCTTGACTCACCATTTTACCTCTGCGGAGACTGAGCTTCAATTTTCAGCATTAAAAAATTGTTGTAAATGCTGTGGAAACTCTTTAAATTAGACGAGTAGTTAATATTATTAAAAGCAGATTTGGTGCCCACAGCGACAGTTCAGACCAGACAAGCCATTCTCCTTGCTCAGTGTTAACAAGTGTTACAGTTCCAGATGGCTTAATAAAATAAGTAATGGCTGTTAAAGTTCAGGTCAAAGTGGTACATTGTGTGTCAATTAATTGAAATGACAGGTGGAGGTTTCTTTGGGAAGGAATTGTGAGTCATACAGTAAGTTGTTTGGAATGCATAGAATCAACCCCCAAAGTAGAATTAAATAAATTATTTCAAACTGTTTTGGGCAAGTAAGATTGCTTTTCCAATATACAGTATAAATATAGATAAGTGGTAATCAAGCACTATTCAATAGCTGATTGTTTGGCAATAGCATTTCATATACACATGCTAAGACTTGTATTAAATCAGAAGATTGATCTCTGTCAAGCATAAAAAAACAAATTCAGTATTTGGTGATAGCTTTTTTTGTCTGGCCATACAAATACAACTTTAAATATTGGGTTTATAATTTATAATTGACAGATGGGTCAGGGTTTGATTAAAGACATACAGTACTGTACATTTTCTAGATGGTGGTAGATGCTGGTTGTTAGATAGGAAGACAGGCTCATACTTTAATCACATATTCATTTTTAGTAGGTCAGACATTATATTTTGACATTGTTTCTTCCTATTAATAGAAAACAAATCTAAATAAAATATCAGGCTACAACTATTGCAATGTCTATACTGTATGTAAGGTTTAACAATGCTTATCATCTTGGATGCCACCTGTTTAGTGTATAATTCTACAAGCATCACCAAAAGTAAGGCAGCATGTGGGGCTGCCTCTACTCTGTTAAAGCAAAAGATGTTATTCTTACACCTTTTTATGTCAAACTCTAATATGACTAGACATCCTCACTGACATTTTTGGTGTCTATGACACCACCTTTTCATAAACGAATTCTCAGCCATACAGTAGGTGTCTTTGGCACTTCAAATGTCACCATGTAAAATATACAGTAAATGATTTTGATGTTGTGTGTCAGTTTGTTTTATGTCAGATGAATACAATTTACAGGCAATGAGTAAAAAGTCTAGACAGAACTTGAAAATGATCAACAACAGCTGGGACATATTTCATAGCCCTTCAAGACAGCAATCACACTCATCCCTCTTCCATCCAATCTCTCTTTTCCATTTTCAAAGGAGCATTGGGGATTCCAGAGCCCCATAACAAAAGTGATGGCATTAATGTTTTGGTTTCAGCAATCTAAACACAACCGATTTTAAAAAGCTGCTGTTGGTTTCCTTGTGTAATGTAAATTACTTCAGCAGTATAGCGTCTCTTAGTGTCTTTTAAGAGGCAGGACTTACTGAGAGTCCCTCGTGATCTTAAGAGTCAGACTGGCATAAGTTTGCCTTCAGGCAATGTGAAATTCCATCCAATTTTCCTGACAATATAGCTGTCCTTTCCCTAAGCTTCTCTTCCATTTTATGAGACATTAAGGGTTACGTGCAGAGACCTTTTAATGAATATTTGATTCAGTGAGATATAATGTTTGAGCTCACTTCTGCCAGCCTTTAGAATGGCAGACAGAGAAACCTTTTCCATTTGCT